CCCCAAAACCCCAAAACCCCGAAATGACTATACTTTGAATATTTATAAAAGAGATTATTTAGAATAATTAAAACTAGAATATTATTAATCAAATAATATTAATCAAATTGAAGTTAAATAAAGATACTCATTAGCAATGGATCCCAGAAGAAAACCTTAATAAATAAGAAGATAATAATAATAATAATAAGAAACACTTAATACTTCTACAAGGTCTAAATCGGTAAGGTAAGATTGATATATCTTATAATTAAATACAGCAATTCAGCTGAAAGAGATAGTGCCTCCAAGATACTCGCTCCAGTCTTAAATGAATCTTAGCAATAATAACCAAATATCAATATCAATTATGATTAATAGCAGTATCAAAATCCTAATCAGAATGGCAGCTAGTATGTCCCTTATGATCAAGCTGTGCATCAATACTACAATCAGCAGCCATCATATCACAACTCAACTATTATGTCTTCTTAAAGCCATCATGAAGAGTTTTCTGCAGCAGAGTATCTCATATGATGCAAAGAGCAGATAGAACTGCAAGCTAAAAAAGAGGCTGCTGGAGAGATTCCTGTTGGTCCAAAACACGAGAGGCAATTATATGTGGGCAACTTACCTCCTAAGATTCACAATCATTAACTAGTAGAACTATTGAATCTTGCTCTTTTAGTAATGAAATGCAACATCAAGCCTGGCTTGCCTGCTTTGTCTGCATGGATCAGCTAAGATGGGCACTACGCATTTGTCGAGTTTAGAACTATCGAAGAGTGCTAAAATGGACATTCTCTAAACTAAATTGCAATCTTTGGACATGTAAGTTTCATTAATTTTATTAACATTTGCAATATAGCCATTAAAGGTTGGAAAGACCTGAATATCAAATCAAATGAATCCACAGATTAATGGCTAGTAGTAGGGAACATAGTAAATAATGATGCTGAGTTAAGCCTACAGTAATTCAGTTGAGATTAGTAACATCCCAAAGGTCTATGAAAACGATCAGGATTCTCTAACAAGACTATTAAAAATGTTTGGCAGCTATCTTCAGTTTCAAATGAAAGTCTTATCAAATTAAATACTCTGCTATTGTGAATATGAAAATGAAGAATAAACTCAAAAAGCCTTGAAAGGATTTTAAGACCTATTGGTTAAAGATTCAAAACTTGCTGTGAGGAGATTAGCTAATGGTTAGTATTAGTAGATGTTTGGGATAAATAATCCAACACCCAAAATAGATCAAGAAGAAGAGTAGGAACTTCATCATAGTCGAATAGTTGTATTGAAGAATATGCTAGTCTTAGAAAACATGAAATCCAAATATGAATATGATGATATAAAAGATGATATTTACGAAGAGTGCGCAAAATATGGTCGTATTGTTAGAGTATTCATTCCTAAACCTGATCATCTCAACTATAAAAGATTGCCTTTAAATGTCTAACTATAGAAATATGGAACATATCTTATAAATGATGGTGCTGGGAAGATATTTATACAATTTTACAAAAGTGATTCTGCTAAAAGATGTATAGAGGGTTTGAACAAAAGACTATATTAGGGTAGAGAAGTTTATGCTTGCTTATTCAGCGAAGATAAATGGGATTAGAGAATATATGAATGAAAATGAAATTTTTGAGTTATAAAAAAGTAATTAATTTTATAAATACAGATGCTGATTATTATTTTGATTTGTGGGGTTTTGGGGTTTTGGGGTTTTGGGG